TTCGTGTCTGTTATAACAGGAGACTGTCGATTCGGCGACCGGGTCGGAAAAACCGATTAGTGTATTTTTTGCTTAAGTGGGGACGCGTTCTGTCGAAGCTAACATTATTAAGGCTAATTATGATTAGCGCTTTATCTGTAAAAAAACCGGAAGAAGGAGATTCATTTTATTATGGCAGTGGCGTTTCGTTAAATACTGCAAGCAGGAGGTAACTGCTAGCTGGTTCGCGACGGTTACAAGGCGTACGTTTCTTTATGCTATTTTTATTCGAGCGTTTCACCCTATTTGACTGGTTGAAGACGTAGTTTGCGTCACTGAAATAGCAAGTAGCTAGTAGTTTAGTGCATCGTGGGGCATTATCGAGGTTTTGTTATTATCAAAGTTCAGAGACTGTACCGTCTGAATAACCACGGCCAATTCGTAATTTCATTCATCGAGTTAATGTTTGTCATCAAGATATGTATTTGTCCCTGTTTACGGTTTTTAGCGCATTTCCCAACGAACTTGGGTGCGCTATTGCAGTTACTTTCTCGCCCGTATGTCCGTCTGTCCGAAGCTTAAACTACTTCTACAGTTTTCAAGATATTTAGTTCGTTCTTTTTGCAATCGGTACTGTGTATAGCTCTGACACCTGAGCCAAGGAAAATCTTTACGATTAAACTGCACATGCGCAGGCTGTGCAATATCAACTTTCTTTCTTTATTTTATTGAAACCTTGATTATTATTTACATAGCGGCAACTGTTACAAATTACAATGCAGCAGATGCCAATTTTAACCCAGTTTTCCGCATATAAACTTGCAACCACAAGCTATCAGTTTAAGTATTGATGCGGGAGCAGATTCTTCCTTTGTAGGTATAGGATTCAGAAAAGCGTCAGTTTTTACCCAGCCCCATTCGTCTGGATTTAAATATACATTTCCAGCCAGGCTTGAAAGCTAATGTGCCGCTGAGGAAGTAGGTGGCAGTTTTGACAGTACCACTGCGCTTTTTGCTTTCCCATCAAGTTTATTAAAAGATAGAAATCTTATGGCAGATGGCTTAGCCAAATCTTAGCACCGTATAATGCTAAAATAAACTTTTCACCAGTTGAATCGATATGCTTCTTAGTGGCGTTTTTGTTGTTGAAGTTCAGGGCCTGTAGTTCTTTTCTGTTGTTGTACAACTGAATTCTGAATAGATGGTATCTTGCCTTTTCCGAAAATTGACGATGTATCACATCCAGTCAAGGAAAATAATAGTTTTGCATCTTTCAATCAACCCTGCATTGGCAAGACTTGAACTGTAAAGTCTACTTTTAACTATACCTTGGTTCTTCTTCAACACGTAAATATTCTGTTGAGCGGGAGTCAAAGCTATTGCAAGAACCAACAGAACGACATCTTGCCCAACTACTACGGCATTCTTATTTTTGCAGACTCTTTAATTGCTGTTTGAATGATGAGAACATCTGCATCATCATTAGCGAGTACTGTGGGCATATCCATCAAATACCACAGTAACATTCACTCCGTAAAGTTTTCGAATGTAACATACATCAGCATCCCATTGCACACAGCATTATTTATGGGGCCCAACGTGGGGCGATAGCAATATTTTCAACACAACATTATTTAAAGAAGCTGTTATGGCATCCAAATTTATAAAAAAGTTTACCACAAATTTACGTACAATTAAATTCGTGGTACTTAAGTGGCGTACTTCTGCATGGCCCATGGAGCATATTTTTTTAATGGCAACATATACACTCTATTCATTTTAAGAACGTTGCGGTATAGACAGGATAGGGAAAAATAAAACGAGTGACGAATTTTGTAAGCTGGCAGTTTCGGTCGGTTGCCAACTAAGACTGGTTCACTTTTATAAAAAGCAGCGTTTTAACAGGTTCTAGGGGCATTTCAGACAACATTTGGCCAAATAGGCGTTTTTTACTAATTTGGACCTGCTGAACACGAATATCGATGTTGGCATCTCGAAATCTGAACAGGAAGTTCAGAATTCAAGATGGCGGCCAATTTCCGAAAATGTTGATCTTTTCACTCATACGACCGATTTTTTCGATCTAGAAACGGATTATAATGTTATTCCTGACGGAGGTACGGTACGATAATAATAGTGAATAAATGTTTAAACAATGATTCCATAGTTTTTCTAACGTCAAAGTGCGTAAAAGTGGAAACCTTTTTTTCATAGTACCTACCTACTGTATGCCTACTGTTTAAATTTGTTCACATCGTGTAATTATTAAATTATTTCTGTTTTGGCAAGCATTTTGGTTCCTGTCCGTCGTGTGATAGATATCCGCGATGTTCCATTACCTCACATATGGAAGAATTTCCTTTCATTAGAGGAAAACAAAAGAAATCTGATCGAGTTCTTGTCGCATCACCTTGAAGACGCCTCATTTGACGGCGTACTGGTGATTCCTGGAGGCTTCAGTGATGAAAGAAAAGTTTTCTGTAACCGTCAGACGACACAGATTTCCTCCTTAGAAGCTTTTCACAAGGAAGCGGATACTAGGATAACGCTACATATACAGATGTATTTCTGTGGCTTCTTCATCACTTCGAGAAAATACTGGCAAACGAAGTTTGGTTCCAGCCCGGTACTTCAAGAAAGATATGTATTTGTTCCTATCCATAATGATGTGCAGAGGAACTGGCCAAAAGCAGTAGTAACGAATATCCTGTCCTTTTACGCTATCACAGGAAGTGATGTCACATTATTTGCTGTTGTGAATTTCCACGCTTGGATGCATTTATTTTTATTTATTGATTTATTTTTGACCTTTATTTTTAAGCAGGGGGGGGTTCAGACAAGGCTGGTCTACCAACCCAATCCACTATACATTTACAAATATCTATATCCGAACCCGGATGTGAACCAGAGAGTGTTTCAAAAGGGCTCTTCTTTACTGTTCACGCTGGGTACCATACTCCTCAGCGAGAAGATATATCTTTTGCAAAATCTTCGTGACAAAACTATACAAGGTTGGTATCATAACTAGGTACATGAAACTTCACTTGTTCAGAGTATCGACTTGGCTCGCATATTTTAGGTGGCTTCCACCGACGGTGCGCGTCCCGCTTAGTTCGGTAGGGAGAAGTCGTTACCAGACGTCCGTTTGGAAGAATGCGCACGTTCCTTGCCCCATCTCGGTTAATCAAGTAGGACTTCCCAGAGTGGAGAAGCATTGCCAAGTTTCAGGAGCTGCGAAGCTTTAGATCTAACAATTCTGAACTCCATTCTCTTGGGATTCCATCTAATCTTCTCTAGCATTTCATCCATTTCCATAATTACGGCATATCAGGCGTAAATCTCAAGAGGTACTTCTTTGACCTTAAACTCTGAAATGTCGCCCAGACTAACATATCTATCCTTGATTTCCTGGGGAAAGAATTGAAAATGGCTACATCCCCATTCTCACAACGTTAGATTAATTCCGAAAGGCTGCTCTAGATATCGTCCTTTGTCGTTGTAAATAGGATTGCTCGTCAAAACTTTGTAAATGTCGCAAGGTTTATAAGGAGAATTATGCAATATAAACGCATGTCGGGAATACTTATATGTGTCGGGATTACTAGAAACAATCGTTTTGCAAGTCCTCCTTTTGGCAAGGAGAGCTATGAATTTCTTAATTCTTAATTTTACGATTCCTGCCGCTAAAAAAACTATTACATTATTGTTAAAACAATAGTTAACTATTATTATTGTGATGTACGTCAGGAATAACATTATAATTAGTTTTTAGATCGAAAAAATCGGTCGCATGAGTGAAAAGATCAACATTTTCGGAAATTGGCCGCCATCTTGAATTCTGGACTTCCTGTTTAGATTTCGAGGTGCCAACATCGATATTCGTGTTCAGCAGGTACCAATTAGTAAAAAAAGCCTTGTTGGCCAAATGTTGTCTGAAATGCTCCTAGGACAGAGAAAATTCGAAAAGTGAACCAGTCTAAAATTGCCGCATTGTCATTAACTGTTAAATGTCAACGATCCAAGCGTGTAATCGTTTGTTTTATTTCTGTTCGCAGTGCTGTGTATTTTTACTTTACAATAATTTTGTGCCGTTTTATATGCTGGCTGTGTGTGGATATCTTCAAGCACAGCGCCATCATCTACCTTATTATAATGAATGCAGTATAGTATTCGTTACATACTATTAAAAAGGTACACTTTTCTGGATATAGCAGCATAAACGGTGTGCACATATTTAGTAGAACACACTGTATAAATTCACGGGCGCAGACTACCCACTAGTCAGACAGACGACCAGCCCTGATCATCTGGCCCTTCAGCAGGGTATAAAAAAGAGTGCGTACACAGGCAAGGTTCTTCCCGATTCGGATATCCCGTAGCATCTGTTTCCTAGATTGCTTAAATCTAGCCCATTTTCACCGGTTGCTCTGATTACCATGTGAAACTAATACGAGTATTGTTTGAAATAGTCACAATCGAGAAATATCATAATCGGAAAAATAGAAATAGACTCCCTTCGCCATCCAAAAGTCCAAACTCCTTCTGTTCTGCTCAAAAATTAATAACGTAAGAATATTCGTATGAACTCCCCCTGTACAAATTGTAAATAAGCATGATGAATGAAGTTAGTGCGTAGAGGTATTAATAGAGTTTTTAAAAGTTTTGGATAAGTAATTATGTTTCTTTGATAAACGAGTGACAGTTTAAGACAATTTATTTTTCTGAATGAGGTTCATAACGCAAGCCCATCGCATTAACAACTAAATGAAATATTGGGACATTTTAATTAAAAGTTGCCACGCGCTAATTTAATATAAAAGTATCATTGAAGTATAATTCAGCTGTTGTAACTTTAACAAAGTCATCTAATGGTATTATTGATTGAATAACGTAAAAAAATGAACAACTTCGTGTATACCTATTCCATTCGATCGAGTAAAGGAATAAGCTATTGGATAATTAATAGGGGTACCACTTGGTACTATATAATATTATATACCCTCTTCTACGTTGGCAGGTACTCCGATGCGCATATCACAAATCATAACCGATATGGTCAAGTTTTACACGGCGGCGACGCATTACTATGACAACACTACCCCCACGTTGTGGTCAAGCAAAGCATAGCCACATTAATTATTTAAATTTTTCAGCATTTTCCCGACTATGAAAATTTCAGGTCTTCAGTGTTTTACTAACGCCTTAACGGACACTTTCGCGTCTTTCTTGCATTGCACCACCATATCTACTTTGCATTTGTGTAATATTGTTAAATAGTTTACATTTTACACTTACACTGAACCATAGTTTTGTGCAAGAAGCTTTGAGACGTTTGTAAAATAACTGAAGTGCTGACTGAACGTACCTAACTGTTAATCTAAAGGTAAGAACGCGCCATTTACTATGGACATACTGTGAACTTTGTTCAACTCAATTTATTTAATGAACAAAATGGCTACCGATAATGTCACCAAATTCAATTCCAGTGTCCAAACATAGTTTTTACGAAATGTAAGTGACAAAACGAGTCCCTACTCATAATAGAGAAAAACAACTGACAAGTTAATTGGTACTTCTCACATGTTGAACTAAGGTATTGCTGACACAACTTACAAAACTAAACTATGTACATAATTAATGTTAATTTATTGAATTATTATAGCACGTAAAACCGATAATTTATGTTTTTATCATTAGTGATTCTGCTATACGCTTAACTGTGCAATAATTCAAATCATTTAATATCATTTCTATTACTAGATAATACCCTTGCACATTTTTTAACAGTCTTCGTGGTACCTACCTTTCTATTATTACTACATATTTTTGGAATTATCCGGCCAAGGGTTGTTGAGATATATTATGGAACACATGATAGAGAAATAGAAAACTTGACCTAGTTTGTGAAATAATCTATTTTTCCCGAAATGAAACCTTAATTTTCATGCCTACTTTAAGTCAGGAAATTTTGGTTTGCGCATGACAGTGGAAGTAACAGTTTGTCCACAGATTTAATAAAAACTGTTACTTTATTACAAACGTTATATTAAAAAACACGACTTCGAGAAAAATGTAATACAAAACTCGTCAGTAAAATGACACTACTTGACTCTGAAATTAAAGTACTCGGACTCAAAGGCGCCTCGTACCTACTTAAATATTTCCTCGTTAGTAATGTGCCATTTTCCTGACTTTTATGTAGGTAATTAACATTTTCCCGTAGTAGTTATTTACATAAAAGTCATTTTCCTGACTTATGTAAATAACATTTTGCTTTGACGCCGAGTACCAGTACTTAAATTTTCGAGTCAAGTATCTACTGTCATTTTACTGACGAGTTTTATATTACCTACATTTTACCCGAAATCGTATTTTAATATAAAATTTCATTTTTCTGTCAGTAATGACAGGAGTATTAATAGACATTACCAATGTGACAGGTGCGACCGGAAAAGTGCCAGTTGCGGCTAGTAAAATGAGAGGCAACGAAAAAAGTAGTCTGGTAATGTTTTACTGGTTGTGTCATGGAACCTAAAATTTCCTGACAAAGTAGGCACAAAAATGAAGATTTCATGATGTTTTTGTGTAAATAACTATTAAACCTATGTTCCATGTCACTATTCTAAAATCTGCCCCATGATTGGAGTGTTTCACTAAAGCGAGTTTTTGGCACCGCATACAATCTTGATTCGTTAAATGATTCAGTCGACCCAGGTTTTATTGGTAGTGATAATATTTGCAAAAATATTGATATCTTGTTTTAAAGCATCCAAATTTTTCTTGCAAATTCCTTACCTGACAAGTTTCTGCTCTGGTGTGAGGAGTCTGAAAATCTATCTCAGGGACACTTTGTTCATCCCAAAATCTTCGTGTAAAATTTTCAAAACCGTTATCTATGATATATGAACTTCTCTTGCCATAACTCAAACTTTAATATGTCGACACCAACTTTTCGGTTCTCTTTATTGTCTCCTGTGTTCTTGCTTCAAGGGGCTTATCAGATTTTAGGTAATTTTATATGGATTCTTGACCCCAATGAGATTGTCTTGCCCAGAATTTTGCTTGATAGTATGATTTGATATCTGATTTCTATTGCATGTATAATAAAAATCAGGTATCAAGTCAATTAAACAAATCGACAAGAACAAAACACGATCAATCAATTTAGTGCAAAGTACATCTACGGTTCAATTTAAGCAGAACGAATTAACTGATAAAGCGATAAATTGCATGTACAAAAAAAACATCGAATGGGGTGGCTCTACTACAGCAACCTAATTTCGATTCCGTCTAGTCAAAATGTACCACGTTGCCGCCGCCAACGCCAAAGGCCACAAAACGTATCACATTAGGGCCCTAGTTGGAGAAAACGTATGGCGTTTCGCTGCGGTCTAATCACAACGGCAGATTTTGGCCGTTTGGTACGTGGTACGTTCTGCCTAAATGAGTCTCGGCTACAATTAATTTAACAAGAGAAGTACATCCAGAATAATATACGAAACAGAAGAAAAGTTAACCTTCTGGTAATGCTAAGACATAAGAGCTGCAGACTGGGCAAGATGAGAAAGCAACATATACAGTGAACAGTCGGAACTGTATACTGTACTTCCTCCGCGGAAGAAACAATTAGTCAAACATACAGGCAACATCACACTGATAATCTACGACTACATAAATCAAATTTTAATCAATGTACAGCATAAACGTGATTGTGGTAACGGTATATATAAAACAAAATTCCTGTTCTCTGGTAGCTGCGCAGAACGGTTTCGTACGTTTTTCCATACTGAGATTCTTTCAGTTGTGAGGTGTGTTGTCTAATCGGAGAGGTATGTCACTTACTTAATCTCGGCGGTAGTTATGAAATGTTCTCGCCTTGTCCTCGCAATCATTTATACTTTGCTGTTGTTTCGCAATAAAACGCCATGATTCTTTCTTCAAGTTACTACTTCTCTTATAATATTCATTTGAGTTCTCGAGAATCTGTAACCGAGTAAAACTGAAAACGATCCATACTCATTATACCACCAAAAAAACTCTTGTCTTCACCAAAGGCTTTATTTAAAAAAAAACAGCTAAGATCTCTGTAACCAAGCGTTCCTAAAACAAAATAGCAGCCCGCTCTGTCAATTTGTATGGGTTCTGTACTTATAACTTCGCCAAAGTATCTATTGGGGTGCCGCACAAAAAAAAATTTACCTGGCTCTGTCAAGGTTTTTCCTACTGGAACCCGCGAGAATCTATTGGGGAATCTATCTAGAACAACAATTTCCCCACTCCTTCACGTTTCTAAACCGACATCTCTTATGACTCGAATCCCTTTCCACCAATCAAACAATTTCACCCACTCAAAATTGGCCTGTTTGACAGCTATAAATTTAGTCCACGTTGGCCGCTTTTTTATCTATTCAGGAGAATACCACATTCTTAATTATAGGGCAAACACTAGCTGGCAGCAATATTGCGGCGCTAACAGAAAATTTTCTGTAACCTTAGACAACCCCGTTGTATCTCACGACTCTAAAAAATTCAGGGCCGTACTTAAAAAGGAGTGGTCTTTAAGTGCATAACAAAAACTTTAAAGAACCCTGCCAAGTAATAATAACTACCGTTTATGCATTTCATGTCCCAAACTCGCAAACCGCGAAACCACAAACAATTTCGACTCTAGGCCCTAAATTGCAAAGATGCCACCCGCTAAACCAAACTTCAATTACTAAATTAATACAAAAATAAATTATTCCCCACACTCATGTGTCCTTCTATCTATTTATTGCACCATGCCAATTGCACCGAACTACCCAACATTGGACTTGAAATAGTGACAGTAACCACCTGAACGTTTCTCTGATTGCCGAAGAAACAGCACCGTGCTTTGTGACTCATCCAGTCCCGAGGGATTAACCCCCGAGGACCAACATTTCTTTGTCTAAAGTCAGATCCTGTCTGCGTAACAAATTTAACCAAGATCAAAATTTATATCTCACTAGATCTTGAGCATTGAAACTAATAAATGTATTGCTTACATACCTACCTATGCATACGTGAATCTAGAATCATCTAGAATCCTTTATCTGTTATTTGAATGCTACTGCATTACAATTTTGTTTGTTATTCCAGGCAAACAACAAATAATGTCTCCTTTGTTTCAGGTCAAGCAGACTTACGTCAACTTTCGCCGAAGCTGTGGTGCATATTTGGGACGTTTTCTCCAAATACCGTGCAACAATCCGTAAATCTTTCGCCTTGGTAGTGTCTCGATGAATAAATCTAAAACATCCCCGCGGCATCCGCGTCTTTGTCTACATCCCTGCGACTTGCGTACTTTATTAAAGTACACCTAAGGTTGAAAATAATATGGGAATCTGCCTCGATACAGGTAAGTAACTCTAGTACTTGGCTACGAATTAGAATACTATCCATAACAATAAACCCTTTTTAAATTACCTCAAATAGTATCCCACTAACCTTTCTTGCTTCCTTCATTTATGTGAATCCGAGCAATGTACTCATATACAGAATAATGGTTTACGGGAACAAAAAAAAACAGACGAATATGGACTTTTTATTCTACTTAAAAAATTTAAATCGTCGCATTTCTGCTTTAGACCACTTATTAATGATAAAAAACAAAATTCATAACTTAGCTACATATTTCTAAGAAAAATCAGAATCCTGCATTTATTTAGAGACCTTTGCAACAATAACACAAAACAAATATTAATTTATTTTCAAAATCCAGTACTAAAGTTGGGGTTTTAGTCCATTCTCCTTTAGAATATTACGATGATTTATTTTGACACGTTGAAACATTTACGCTATTGTCCGCATTTATCGTAATAGTTTCCAATTCGCACAAATTAAACTTTATTTAAGGTCAGACCGTTGTTATATTTATGTTAAGTTTTACATCATTGTCTCTATTTACGGTGATGGTTTCTTGATACTTGATACTTTGACATATGCCTGGCGTCACCGCCTCTCCCAAGATATACCAAACCAAAACCGCCGTAAACCAAAATATCCCTTTTAAATGAAGATCACTGAAAGCTTTAATTCAAAACTTCTTTCTCATTTGATTTAAGCGTACTTTGCTACTTGAACCCCAGGCAACTGCTCCACAAATAATATTTACAGGTGGTCGACTTAATTTCACTGGCTCAACTGGAATTCAAATAACACACAATAAAATATACCCTGCTATAAATTCCCGATGGCTGATTTAAATTCGTTCGCGGCTCGGAAAGACTTTTTCCAACATAACATAAAAAAGAAAACCCTACATCTACGAGTGACTGACTTCACTCTGTCTCCCGCGGATTGACGCAAATGCTGCCCAATACCAAATGCTTTTTTACCGGATGTCAATAGAACACCCTCTATTTTTGTGTTTTAAAATTAATTATCAAGTTTAATAACATCTAACCCAAAAAGTTGATTTTTTCAAATGAAACTTGGTTTATTTTTTTACACTTTCACATGTGGAGAAAAATTCTATATCGATCGATTATTACATTCCCTATACCTATGTGTTATGGGTTTCGTTTTATTTAAGATTTTCTAAAATTGTGATCGGTAAGTATATGCATAGTTTCCTTTTGAAATCAACACGATAAGATGTCAGACATATTTTTTTATTATTATAATTGTTTTCATTGTTGTTCATGAGTTTATATAAACTTACTTAAGTAATATTACTTAAGTATGAAAAAATCCTATTTACTTTAATGAATACAAAGTTAAACAAAGATGAAATGAAAACCAGAAACAGGTCATGATAACAAACGACAAAATAAAAAACAAACAGGTTTTGTCCTTGTGGCCACTTGTTTTGTCAATGCATAACGACATCCTCTGATTAACTGCGATTCTCCATTTCATCAAAAGCTATTCTCACCCTAACTTCCAATTCTACACGAGAAACAACTGGTGTAGGTAACTTTGTTTTTTATAAGACCCCACACACACACAACTACAGTGGCGTTATATCTGGAGATACACCTTTTCCACTTTTATTCGAGAAGTTGTAAATTGTATTTGAGAATTGTTACTTGTATTTGAGAAAACGTCAAAGTAGATGAGAATAGTCAGTTGGATTTGAGAAAACATCAAATTGTATTTGAGAAAGTATCATTTAATTTTATTGTATTTCAGAATGTAATATTATTCCTAATGAATTATAATAAAAATCAAATTTTTATAATTCCGCTACTGTATGTAGTCCCGCAACAGCATCAGGCTATGTTATACATGTGATTTTGTTTTTCTCATTTTCAATTGATTCTCAAATACATTTTACCATTTCTTGGATACAATTTATTACTACTCTCAAATTCATTTGATACCTTCTCAAATACAAATCACTATTCTGAACTACATTTGTTGTTTTCTCAAATACATTCGATACTATTCTCAAATGCAATTGATACTTTCTCAAATTAACTTGATAGTTTCTCGAATAAAAGTGGAAAAGGTGTAGAAGACCAATAGCGCAGATCTGTAGGCCTAATCCGCCTGTCTTCAACTATGTTTAAAGACATATAATAAGCATCATGGGTAGAATGAGCCGGCGCTCCGTCAAGTTGAAACCAGTAGTTTTCCTCAGGTAATGTTTCCAAGGATGGTACAATGAGTCAATGACATCTACTAACGCGTACTAAACGCGTAACTAAATTTTAATCTGCAATCTCCTCAAGGTATGTACTTTAACTCTGCAAATATCATAAATCTCTAACAGATATTATAGCCAGAAGATGACCGTTAGTCGAAACTAGTCGCTTTTACGTCTTATCTATTAAATTAGGATGGGGAAGGTTTTGAGGTTTTGTGTTTTTGTTGGTTATTTTAACGACTTTATTCTACACAACCCCATTTTCAGTTTCATCACACCATGGAATATGGATACCTCCGATTCATTCGCCTACTAACGCGTTTATTTCAAGGCCCCCTAAGAAAATTTTGCATATAACGGTCACAATTTTAGAAAATCTTTAATAAGAGGAAAACCATAACAGATAGGTAATATTTGATCGATGTAGAATTTCTTTCCACGTTTGCAAGTGCAAAAAAATAAAGTAGGTTTCATTTGAAAAAATCAACTGTTTAAGGTTTGAAGTTGTTAAACTTGACCATTAATTTAAAAACACCCGGAGAAGGGCGATCAAAATTTAAATCATTCGCATATAGCATCACGTCAGTGTTGATTTTAGAAGGCTTTTTGAAATTCAAGTCAACGGAGCCATATGTAGGTACAGGGCGCTAAAGAAAAGCAGTGAAACTGTGTTGGTATGCAAATTTTAATTATTAATGAAATAATCACATCTCGATATAGATGTTTACCGTATCGAAACTAGCAATAAAAGATTCAGAACTAACGATTTGAATCACTGCATACACCGCAAACATGCGGTATATAGGGTTCATAGACTAATTAATCTTCCACTTCTACATCAAAATTACGTTAAATAATTGCTATCCATCAAGGTAATTCCTGTATACCTACAATTGTTTTTCGGAAGAATTAATTATGAACCATAGATTAAGAAAGCAAATTAAACACGTTAACAGCTGGTAAATTAGATACGAAATATGTGAATTTCCAAATTATTCTGCTACACTAGAGCAAAGGAGTATTCTTTGACTAGAGCTAGAACCGTTTCCAAATCGAATTTGCAAACTGTTACAACTTCAAATGGTAGTAATAGAACAACGGCTGCCTCCTCACCACTTTTTGTGACTTCACAAGGTCGTGGTCTCGGATTTTGGCCTAAGATTGAGGGCTTGGTGAAGGTTTTGGAATTTGGTCCAAGGTCGTGGCCTTGGTGATGGTGTCCTCTTTTGTAGAGTAAGGTCGTGACATGCGACTTCCCAGTGCTGTAAGGCGCGAGCTTGGTGAAGATAGCGTTAGGATGCCAAAAGCTCAATTTGCATTCGTAATTTTATTTATCTTAAGTCCCCCACCCCCACCCCTCCGAGGTGGTATGTTTTTTCCAAAACTTCTTTAGACGAGTTAGTACTCACACGACGGTTTTTCGGGAAAACCAATTGACCACTCCAAGCTCCACAACGTGTACGTATTCGCCGGGACCTCAAATTAACAACGAGTTTAAAATGAACAAAACGAGACCTGCACATACAAGTGCGTGAGAGCTGATGATGTGGGCATTTTAACCCGAAAGGTGTTGCTTCATGAATTGTTGTTTGATTTTTTTCTGATATTGCTTATCGTTACAAGGTCAAGATGTTACAAGGTAGTATACAAAATTGAAAGACCTTTCACATAAGGTGTCACTCTACTACTATTTCCATTTGACGTGAGTGGTTGACAAGGGGCCAATTTTTACGTAGGTGCATGTATGCCTCCCAAGGTTCACGTGTATCACATAATTTTTTTATAATCTCAGTATCAACTGAGCCGTACGTATCGTAAAGTGAATGGGTCTCTACCGATTTTTTTTTTCTGTTTGGAAATTACAAAGATGGAAACAAAAGCCATACTTAAGATTTTTTTAGTTTTTATCAAATTTTCCCAAATGCCAAAAGTTGTTAAGGTAGACAATTTGTCTGTTGAACAGTCTTTCCGTTCTTTACAATGCAAAGCGCAGTTGATCTGTACTACGAACTATTTCCTTTCACTTGCTGTTCTTGTTTTTTCCTGAAAACTACTGCTTATTGTCATTAACTCATTAGCTACCTACCTTGAACTGGAACGTGCTCTGGAAATGAAATATAGCGAATAGCGATATGTCAATAAAAGAAATTATGGAAGAAGGGCATTTCTTCCTTGACAGTTTTTCCCGAGGCTTTTCCTATCGCCTAATAATTTTTTTAACATCATCGATTCCTTTGCTGTTAGTTTCATCAAAGATCATACTACATAATGATCTTTGGTTTCATCGATCGCAGAGTTATAGGTACTTGTCTTTTTCTTCGTGAAGGAAGTAGCGTTTAGTCTACGGAACTTGCGTGAAGGAAACACTGTAATGAAATAATTGTATATAATATTCGCATAAATACATGCACATTACAACCGATAAGTATTTTTAAATACGTAGCTACCTAATTACTTATCGTTCTTCTTCCACCAATTTGAAGAAACCACCTAAACTTCACATGAAAACTTGAAAAACATCTACGATCGGCGCTATTTCATATTGCGTGCCGACCGGAAAATTTCCATACTTACGTAATTATAAAAAGGATTTGACGAATAAAAGAATGAATTGCCCACGCTAAAGCTTGAATCCAAAAGGAAATTCGAAGAGATTTGTGTAAGCTGTAAATTACACCGCGGTCACGCACTATTTTTTTGGTAGGGTAGTTTAGGCGTGATTGATCACTTACGTTTGCTTAGATGCGATTATGTAACGATTCGTTATGAATCGAAATTAATTGAAGTTACAAGATTTTAATTAGCTATCATGAGCGCGGTGTTTAAATGAACTGCGTGATTTTGCTATGCGAAATCTCACTACACGAACGGAAAACATTAATGCAAATTGCAGGAGAATTTAAATTTATGGCAATTTTAGAGTATGTAATTAAAATGAGAAATATAACAGTTGCCGAAACCACCTTATACAGGGCGTTGAAAACGAACCGCCTATTGTAATTTTGATAAAAATCAAAAATATAAGTACCTAATCTTCTATTAATATCGGTCCAATCGGTCGGTACAATAATTTTGTTCTTAGAAATACCTGCCCAGATTTTCTACTGACATTGACATGAGGTACGACCTTTTTGCAACCAGTGCGATGTTTCGTTGTTCCAGCACCTAGCTGTTTGTTCACAAATCTTATCGAAAAGAAAGTACATTCACCGCTAAAGGTTTTTTTAGGGAATTAATTCGCAGAAGTCAATCAGTAGGAACCTGGTACGCGATTAATCAAGTGGTCACTTTTCTATTTAAAAACTTATTGCTCTCCTGATCAAATCATTAAAATATTATTACCCCTTTTTACACACACATTATAATCTTAGAATCTAAGTTTTGAACTCAGCTGGAAAATACTCTTTATTTAATGTTGAATTCAGATGCAAAATTTTAATTCATAATATATATACATCAACAGCTTACATCTGAAAATCGATTTCTTCGGACTGCCACTAGCCGCCTTCAAACGTACTGGGAATTCACTGTTGATCCAATAAACAAGTTTTTCGCTATCTCTCCTACACGTCGATCTTGTCCTTCGTTTTATTGATTTATGTTGTGTATTTTATTGTGTATCACTATAATTTTAATTTGTATGCAAAATGCCTTGTAGCGTTAATAAATTATTATTATAGTAAAATGCAATGACCGATTGTATAATGTTTTTTCTTAATGTTTCACTGACAAAGTACTCAACTTTTCAACACCTTCAAAGGAACCGGTCAATTTTTAATATTAAATGCAAAGAAATATGGTTACCTAATTTATAAAGTAAGCTAATTTATATTTATATTTATATTTACATTTATTTTTTTAAGTTATTTTTATATCATCCCATTTATATATCTTTTCTAATGTAAAAGCTAATGGAGATATTCCGGAGTCGCTCAACTAGAAAACAAGTTCGCCCAGTCTATCCTGAATTTTGGCAACAAAGTCATTAACGTCTTTTCCGATTCCAAAAATAAAAGAATGTATTTTATGTCCCTACAAAAAATAATAGGTAAAACTTTACTTGTGCCCACCGATGGTCCCTCTCGCCTTGTGATGTCCAGCCTTTTAAGCAGCAATTTCCATAGCATCTTCGGGCTTCGTCGATAGTAAAATAACTTGCTCTGGAAGTTTTCCTGTGTTCACAAAACCACACAGATCTTGTAACTGCTATGGTGCTGTTTGTTGGAGCTCCCCTCCCAAATCCATCTTTAAAATTCAAGAACTTCCTAATCCAAAACAAAAATGATTTGTTATATATTAGTCGATGATGTTTAATAATTAATTTATTATTCGTCTTTGGTTTCAGAACAAAGTAACGCTTCACACAGTATTGAGGATGGTCAAGAGAGTTGGTTTCAAAACAGCGCAAGAAATTTACGAGGTGCTCACACGCCGATGGCAGGCATTCTACCAATGCATAACAGCACAAACGTGCATTTTGAGTCACCAAAGGTGCCTGTCATATTTGTACTCGGTAAGTTGGACTTTTTAACTTTCTCTGTTTAATTCTCGCGCCCACACGTAAATCTTTTGCACAGATCGATAAGTATGGCGTGTCTTGCTCACGAATCGTTGCCTTCACCATGCGATATTAGTATTTTGATTTAAAGTGACAGCGAAAGTGTAGGTATAAACTGTTGAGTTCAGTTGCTTTCTCCGAAAAGCGGTTCATTACCTTGTCTCTCATTAATAATTTTCTACGAAGTGTTCAGGAGCAACCTCGCCTTCCTTACTGTAGATATTTGTTTTTGCATTTCCCAATCAGAAGGAGAAATAAAAAGATGTCAACCATGTCAGTCTTAGTATAGAGCTTAGTAACATTATATTTGAAGAGGTGCATACATTACTTGAACACTTTGTAGTTCAGCTAGCAAATCACGCATATCACTCAAAAACCATCATTTTCTGAACTTTGGACTTTTACACACACCCAGAGCCGCAGGCCCATATTCCTCCTACCAGCCCTGGGGAAAATAGGCAATATTCTACAACCCTACTGATCATCCGCCTGGTAGACACCGTTTCCGAAGCCTTCAGCAGAGCCCAGTAGCTTGATAATAAAAACGCATCCGAAAAGGTTTCCTAGTCAACGTGTACTAACCTCGCTTACCCGGCTTCTCCACAGCTACCTCACAAATCGCACTTTCGGGGTCAAGATAGAGGACTAGTTCTAGGATGAAACACCTGCCGGTGCGGAGTTGTTACAAGGAGGGGTGCCCCATATGTACATGAACGACAAGCCGTCAACGTATTGCCCTATATGCGGAAAAGGAATTCTGAGTTCTGACAAAGTATAATTTGTGGTCACATTGTTCTCTAACTACCGTTACTTCAATATCAACGACAGTACAAATATACGGTAATTTTTCAACACAAAAAAAAACGCCGTACTTATGGCTAACAAAGTTGAACCCATTTACATGGAGATTCTCATTGACTGAAACCCCCAACTTATCATACGTGATAAATTTACAGATTACATGATGGCTTCAATAAGCCGATTGACACCGATTGGTACTTTTAAGACCTATTTTTTGTTTGAAATTACTAATAAAAATCAAATATCCTTTATAAACGTTCGGAAACAACGGTTTCGTATAATAAAAACTAGGACTTTAAATTCATCATTTTATGGAAACAATCTGTCTACTTAAAAAACGAAAGATTTAGTGCACCGTGAGGTTTTCCGTTAAAGTTGTTCTCTTCTTATTAACAGTTTTGTACATTTTGAACAGCAAACGGCAATTCGTTATTTTACGAGTTAGGTACGAGTTAATGTTTGTGTCATTCAGATTTGTGTGTTAAAGAAAAGTGAAGTTCAGAAGCTGTCAGCGTTTGGGAGCTATGTTTGTCGCAAACTTTTGACGACCAGATTATTAGGATTATTAAAAGAAAAAAACCAATAATTTTAAGATTTTTTATTCTGTTTGTCGAACACCTGCATGCGGGGTCATTTGTCCAAACAAGCTTTGTAAGCTTTTCTTTCTTTCAGAAATTTGGTTTTATATTCTCATTTCCCAATAAAATTTTGTCATTATCAGTCAATTAATTGTGTATTTATTCGTACCCTTTGTGCAACCCGGATAGAGTTTTCATGTCAGACTTTTCTTCTCATGTCCAAGAATTGTGTAGTTAATTCTTAGAAATTTTCGGAAGTTAATCAAAACTGGTGAGTGTCCAACATTATTAATTTAAGTCAATTTAAGTTAAGTTTCAATTTCGATTTGTTTGAGCTAACTGGACAGGTGTAGTTGACCGCATATCATTGCACACCGCATTATTTATATGGCGCCCAACGTGGGACCACAAAACGGTTACTCTATTGCTGTGATGCCAATAGTTATCAATTACCATCAATAAATTATCCAATACACGAAATGGGAAAGTTTGGAAGAGTTCCTTCTTTTAAAGGCTAATGCAATAAATTTTTGTTTCAGGTGGGCCCGGTAGTGGGAAGGTGACTCACTGCGATAACTTAATGCAAGAAAAGAAGGGGATCATCCACATTAATATGACGGATCTTCTACAACAATACGCCTTGGGAAATGGTAAGACATTATACTAATCTCCCCATACTATCTCCACCATTCCATAAATCATACTTAGTGTAGGAAGTAAATTGTTGTAACTAATTCGATTTGGAGATAGTAACAGTTGTTAATTTGTTTACTAGATGGACATAGCAGTTTAATCAATTTTCGTGGTACCACAGGTAAACCAAACAGGGTTTTTAATGCTGTGTGGTGGTAGATATAAGTTGCTAAATTACGCAGTAGTGTGGATTTGTATTTTTTTTTGCTGAAGTAATTTCTGTTGGGCTAAAGCAAAATCGATTTGCCTAAAGCCACAAATAAAAGGAGATAATCGCAGAAATATAGTCAACGTTTGCAAATATAATTTGATGTTTAAAGGCAGACTTTGAACAAATACTTGATGCACAAAACGCTATCAAAATCAAACACAATCGCGTGCGTATAGGAATGAAATTGCATTTCAGCATGCACACGGTAAATGTGATAAATATACGTATAACTACCCCTTTTTTTCAGACATGCAAGATTTCAGTCTACTATCGAGCAAAACTGTTACGGAAGTGTTAATGTTGGAAATGAAGATGTCGCCTAACGCGAAAACTTATTTAATATCCGGCTATCCAAGAAACATGAGGGATGTTGTGGAGTATACAGAAAAGGTAAGGTCCCCGTTTGTATAATTAACTGCCTGTTAAAAAACAGCTCGTATGCTTGCAACTTATCCACCACGCACTCTGGCTGGTCACGCTATGAACGGGAAACCACCAACTAGTGCTCTTCTCTTGAAAATTCACGAAATACGTATTGCTAATGGAAGAACTACACAAACATTAGCCGCCCTGCAACCTTATTTTTAACAACATCAATACCAAAAGTGGATTTGCGTCATTCATTCGCACACCATCTTGAAACACACCGCATATCAAATTTGCGTCACATTTGAAACGGAGTTTATGGAACGTCCGTTCCATTACCTACGTCATTTTGATTAATTGTGTTTCACTCGGCCGTTACCCATATTCCCATTAGCACATGAACGCTTTGTTCTGCTAAACATATAGCAAGTATTGATTATGTATTTGGTTTGATATGATAAGTGGGTACCTAATCAATATTTTTACTTTCGTTGTTTATGAATTCTTTGAATAACAATGTCTCAAATATTGCCCAGTCACAACAACACTTTACGAGCCTAAATGCTTCAAACCTCTTTATTTTTCCCATAGATACCTGAAGAGAGGTCTCTAATTTATTTAAATGAAATCTGTGACGTAACTCCATAAATGCGGTTTTAATTTTTTGTTGAGCAATGGATGCAATAAACTTACGCGAATTACATAAGTGTTTATTATAGCTCTAAGATTGCATGACCTAACTCAATAGCTCTAGGAACAGATAAACTGAAGCTGAACACGCCATATTTACGTGTAAATTACGTCACTGTATTAAATTTCGCATATTTATCGGTCCTCTATAAACGGGTAACGGTACCTATGGCATTTTACTGGTCAAAGGATGCACGGATGAGCTATTACCATAAGACATGCATGCAGTTAAGGCATACATAGTTGCATAAGAACAATGCCTTCAAATTTTATAAAATAATGCCTTATTATTAGAGTATGAAGCTTCAAATTGGTCAGTATACATATAATTATGTAAATACGGCAAGATATATGGCTTTTTCAAAAATGTGATAAATAAACTGATAAGGAATTTTGGTGGAGAAGCGCCGGCGACTCTCCACAATAATTATTTATAAAAAATAGAAAAATTAAAGGAAAATTTTTCAAAACATTCATGAATTTTTATCACAGAAAAACATCCTCACCCCTCACGATTGCATTCAAAGGAAGATTTTAGAGATGTCGCCGAAGCATTCCAGGATTGAATACTACTCGTACAAAAAAATTCCCAGGCGGATTTCATTAAATTTGCAATAAATGTCAGAAAGGTCCAAGACACTTCGGAGAAGTTCCGAATAAACAAAGATAGTAGGTTTTTAATTTTTATAGTACTTAGATATAACCTCGAATTTTGAAGCTTGGTTTTTGAAGCTTACGTCTTACTGCTTAAACATAAAGCTTCTATTGGCTATTTCTTAAAGATCTAATGATTGTGAACTAACGATAATGATTGTATAAACCCACCATTAGTTACATTTACAAAGATCGAAGACCTCACTTGCATAAAATAAAATTTAACCTCTAAAGCACTGGTAAAAAATTATAACATTACAATTAGTTTTTAATTTACCCACGGTAAGCTCAGTAATAAAATTGTCTTTATATCCCTTACCTTGCGGAAGTTTAGCTCTTTATCTCATCTGAAAACCTGAAATTCAAAATCGAATGCTCTAGTTTGACTGAACTCTAAAATGCACGCATACATTAATAAAAACAAAGGCGATCAGTTTCAGTTTCTCTTCACACGTTCCTGGACGTTAAATATTGATTAGTAGGAGAAGCCAATAGCGCATTTTTGGATTTACTCGAGCACGTCAGAGTAAAGTAAGGTGGGTTGACTACGTATTGAAAAGTGGCATTCTCGAGCGCTTTGGATTTTTTTATTTCGTAAGAAATTATGCAAGAATAACAGAACTAATATAATCTGCCGATTTCAATACGCCGAAGTGGAACAAATCGTTAATAAAGCCCAGTGTGTTCAGCAATTGAAGCATGTCAGTCGACTGAGATTATAGTTGGTCGTGTCATAAATTATACGTAAAAACGCTGTAAATATCGGACGCCCACGAATTAATCCCGTCTTCTACCTTTCCGTACAGCCTCCTCCACCACGCACACCGGCAGATTAACGTACCTCCAATATGAAAGACACGTGGGGCATATGTACCTACTATCAATATCTGACGCGCTCCAGTATTTTCATGTGACTATTTTTTTGTACATTATTAAAAAAGTGTAGACGCACCCCTACCGGTGGAATAATGTACATCATATAACTATTTTTCTTTCTAGTATCTAATCTATAACGTTCAATATGACCCTAAGACCCTCGAGTAAATCCCCATTTAGTATCTTGGGCTGCCCTACTATAAAAAGAATTAAAAAATGGAATGCCCATCTCGTGATCAAGTGTGCGTGCTAAATTTGATCCTTATGTTAACTGTCATTTGGTTATACTCGTTTTCTGGTATATTCTCCTGTTTAAAACGCACCTACACCCCTTATTGCGCACACCTATACACACCTCTGAATGCTAAACAAAATTTTAATTCAATGAAAGGACCAGTATCACTGAAATTAATTAAAAAATTTCCAGTCAATGAAGCAAATTTACACAAATCTTTTGTTTGGATCCGCATTTGAATAAATACAGTACAAAATCTGTTTCATACAAATAATCCTCACGTTTCGATTCCTTTAGGAATATTGAAATTACTTGAAATAAATTGAATGTGAAAATTCCTAAAAATAATCGATCGCTACTTTACGAATCAAAAAAATATTAAAGTTACTTACAGTTGTTGACGTGGGTAATATTTAGTATCAATTGAGCTTATTTCCCCTTGAAAAATATCGTTTCCCTCCACAAATATGAAAACAGATCGTTTCGATGAAAGAATTTACTTATTATGAAAAAGTTGACTTATTACACCGCCCTGGTAACGTTAGCTTCGTGATTAAGCAAGGTTTCGTGAAAGAAAAGTTCATGTGGATTGCGCACCAAGCAAACCGGCTTCAATTTCGCGAAATCGGGACTATGCAAAGGAATAAAATGCCAATGTTCCGCTGCATTGATATTAATTTTGCCTAATTTATTAACTAGATTTTGTTGCAAGAAAAATTGTAATTCCCTGCCGTTACAAAAATTTTATTTATTGCACTGACGTCACTCAACCAGCCGTTACTGTTAGCGATTCGAAAAAAAATGCTTTGTTTATCACAATGACTCCGACTCGAAAATGTTCTGTCGCGTATATTTTACCACTCGCAATTTTTAATAAATCCAAACTTGTTTAAATGTCCCCACGACGTACCGGCAATTTGGGAGTTCTTGCTACTTAATATGGCTTAATTTCGCTCACTAATATCACTTCCCCGTTCCCGAATTCCAACCGCAAATCTCGCTCTTGAAGCAAACCTTTCGTTTTTACTTGAAATAAAATAGTAATACTTAGCGCACCCGAATAGGGTCGTGCTGATTTCTTTCGCTATTTCAATCTCGCCCATTAGAAAAACCGAAACTTTCCTTTCTGAATGCAATAACCTAGACTGGTGCCCTATAAACAGCTTTTCGACTGTTTTTCTCAAATGGAATGAACGCAACTTTTAGGTCCGAAGAGATCGTGACAACCAGGCTAACTTTCCCCAATACATTTCTTGTTATCGCTTGTTATCGCCAGACATACTATTGTTCCCGTCAGCTATAAAGCGGTATATGTGTAAATTTTTCTGGGTCGAACAAAATACAAAACCAAATTTTTGAAACGATAAAGCGGCCACCTGTTACAGCTCATGGGTTGAGCTATTTACTATTTAAATATAAATATCTTGTCGCATAGATAAACGACATGCATACAAAAACGTTGAAATACTTACCTATTTGACTTTGGCTCTGCCACTGCCGTGAAGATGTCGGCGACCATTTTAAACCTCGAGTTTGTACCTACACAACAAGTTCGTAACAATCATCAAAAATGGCTACACAAACGCAAATAAACGATAAACAATTGCATCCAATTTAGGGGTGGGTGACATCACCTTCACAGACATGTTTTTGAGAATATTAAATATCTCTGTTCACATTACAGTTACATTTCTGTAGTAGAAATTCTAATACGAAGAAAAAAGGTTATTCGGTTTTCAAAATACCTACTTTACTTGTACCTACATACAGCTACAAAGAACAAATTGGAAAATTATCTAGCCACAAAACAGTTAATATTGTAGTATACATCTATGTTTGACGAATCACCCTATTTTTTGCCGATTTAAGGTTGTATAGATGTGTACATCGATTACTTACCCTAAGTGTTTTTGGTTTGTTTAATGTTTCATTTTAGGTTAATTGATTTACAAACAAACGTCTTTATCCAATGTGTAAACATTACCTATATAACTATTCAACCGCTTCATTTCTTTCGAATGTGCTGGTGCAATAAATTGTATTTCATATTGCAAAGATTATATAGTTGTAATCCACTGGTTATTGGCGAAAATAATCAGCTTTTAAGTATCAAGTTTATGCAAACTGTGTGTTACATGTTACCCTTGAAAACATGTCTAGTAGAACCCAAACGCTTCCCTTTAAAGTAGGTTAGGTACACTTGTTGAAATTACTCCATTTTTCACACGTGTTTATATCGATTACCGACCATCGGTGAAGACACAAGATCAATATCATAATAGTAGGTATAATAATGACATGTCGTCAAGAACGTTGTGTTAAGTCACTACCTTCATCCCAAAATTCTGTTGGAAGTACTTACCGCTGTGGGTATTTATAAACATCAATACAATGGTAATTACTTATTGCCTCTTAATTTTTATCTTTTCTTAGTACTAACTATAGGTATGGATTAAACGAGGTCGTACTGTCGCTAGTTATATACATTGTAGAGGAATACATCGATTTCTCATTTATGTTATATCCTATCCATCATCAAACGGTATTATATTCCATTTTCTTACATCAA